TTTTATTTAATCGATGTTTATGGACCAGGTAATTAGGAAAATTCCGAATTCAAGTCGAAATGATTGTGGAATAGAAAGAGCATTGAAGGATTGCTTTTCAGTGCAATCAATCTGAAAAGCATATAACTAGTTAATTTTTTATTCATCATGACTTTGTCCTTAATTTGCCAAGTTTTTGCATATATGAGATTGGTTCAACCTATTATATTAAGATGAGGAAAGACTGTTAGTTGAATTCCCTACATGATATAAATAGGCCTAATTTTTCCATGGAATTTCACATATCCTTGCTCCCCAAAGGCTATTCTCATTAGGCTGGACTACACTGCACTTTCGACCTCACATAAATCTCATCCTCAGGCCCAGCAGGACTCGAATCTGGTTTTCGACAATGCAGTATATACTTTTGAAAGGTTAACTACCATTCCACACTACCACGAGGTTCTTGGTCCACAGGGCAGATAGAAATTTCAATGAAGGCCAAGCATTTTTCCATATCGCATTATGTGTTGAGATTGTCAATACCGCAAAGTTGTATTTGCTATAGCAATTGACTACGTTACTTATTTTTCATTTATAAGTAGGATATCAAGACTACATGTATATCATGTCGAAAGCATTCACAAAATGCTATCTTATCAACAAAATATGCAAGGTTATTAGTTTGTCAATCACTTACCCATCAAAGTGATGCGATGAGACTTAAGCAGAGCAAGCAAGTCCTTTTGTGATAGAGATTGGAAGACGTCGCGCATGCTGTTGACCTGATGAGTGAAGTAGCGCAGTGCAAACGACATCGCTCTTCGCTCCAGGTAGTAGAGGCCTGGACAACGCTTCGCATGTATCCAGACAAGAAGACAGGTGTCACGGTCCAACAAGCGATGCAAATACTCTCTAACCGTCTCACCGACTCCTGTCATCTACACAATGGCATACCCATAAGAAATGGGAAGAAGAGGACCATATCATGAGGATGAAATTATAATGGGTCACAATAATTAGTCTAAATGGCGATCATGCTAATAGAACTTACATGAGTCTATTTCTCAAATGAGGTAGACATTTAGGCAATGAAACGAAGACGTTGTTAGTGCGTGATGTCCGTTTCGAACAAACCAGTACCACTTTTGAGGCCTGGCCGAAGGATAGGCATAACCATCACACAAATTCGGCATAATGGCCAAAATGTACTAGAAACCCACTTGAGATGCCGCAGGCAAATAAGGATAGGCGTCCACAGTTTGCTCAGGTAACACGGGTTTAATCGAGGAGACGACCTGTGAAGGCAATGGCTAATATTTGCAAGCATGGGACTCAGAGGCTATGCCCTCTGCTCGGTGAGGTGGTAGCGTACATGCTTCTAAGGGATTTAGATATAAATCCTGGAGTAAAACGCACACTAGGACTGGAACCGTGTGAAATCGGCCAACCAGAAAGATAAGACACGGATCTAGGGACCATGAGGAAGAACCGGATTTAAGGCGCGAGACGCATAAGCCGATCGAAAAAGATGGGGCCATGGTGAATATGTGAGATAAGGCCACACCAAATTTGCCAAAATTGGCAGATATTTTGACGAGTGGAATGTAAACAAGTAAGAAGTTGTGATAGATAGGGTAAGCAGTGCATAGATGGGCCAGGACATAAAGAGGAGTTATATTGTCACAGTTTCGGCAGAACTTTGGTCAAGGGATTGCCTTCACTTATCTCTGACGAGTTTGTAGCTTGGTGAGGAGAATGGCAAGACTCACTGATGATGCCGACTTCGTTGCTGGCGAAGCGTCTGAGAATGTACTAAGTCCACGGTCTGATGCTTGGGATTATGATAACTATTATGGCAGAGGAATTCAGACAAGGTGTGTTCAAATAGGTCACCCAGACAACAAGACCAAGTTGCGAAAACGAGGTTCATCCACTTTACAAATCAGGAGACTGCGACCATACCGAGGGCCGCACCATCCTGGTGTTTATATCTTCGATTAAACCAAAATATATATACTCAAGCAATCTACGTCACATTTTATTGAAACAACCCATCTTGTCTGCTAAATCACATAAACATTGATCAGGCCTTCATGTATTTTGACCCTAAACAGTAGAGCTGAGAGGATAGGAATTCTCGCCTATTCCCTAACGAATGTGATGGTTTTATGTGATTTGCCAATACAAACTCATTTTAGAGAGAAACCTAAGTACATTTCAAAGAGAACCAAGTGAGGGCTAATTTAGCGAGATAAATTTGTGGAGTTTAAAGGCTAATGAACAATATGGATCTGTACTTACATGTGTACAAAAGCTCATTTAATATTTTGGGCAATTTTGTCTTAATTGGAAGCCAAAGAATAGGTATGTAGCAAATCAGCCTAATAGTAGGAATACAAATATTAGCAAAAAATATAATAATCTAATAAAGATCATGAATGTGAACATGGCCTGTCTATGATGAAATGTATGCATTCATCAGTTCAACATCTATACCAATTGCATGCAAAGGCATCCTAATGAAAAATTTCCAGAAAGTTTATTGATGATAAAGTGTAGAAGCGTAATTTCAGGCCGGTTTGTTAAAGCCTTATTCAACACGGGATAAGCTTACTTGAAGTTATAATGTTACAGGATTGAAATCCATAATCGAGTCAGAACAATGAACCTCAGAAATACGGGTGAGGCCAAATCATTAGCGGATGTGCTTGCAATGGATTAAAGGATATATGGCCAAGCCTAGCTAAAACTACCTACAAATAACTTTTAGATTTGTTGCCGCGGCAAAAATCTACAGTCATGTAGGAGTTTATGCATAAAGTAAAGACCTGAAGGTACATGAACACGTTCTTGGATAGCCATGAGATTCCCCTATCACGAGACCAGTTAGAGTGTGATTACTCATATGGGAAAATTTCATATAAAAATTGCGTATAGCTCAGAGAATTTAAGTGAAATATAGACTAGATAGATTTATAAAATCCGCATTTGAATGAACGAGAGGTCTTACTATTGCTTACAAATGTGTGGGCTCAAATCACATTAGCTTAAATGCTCAAATTCAGACTCAGCACACAATTTTATCATTTTTAATGTTGCCCGTAACTTAGGAAATAAATTTTTCTTATTCTTCCAAGAAGGATAAGAAATACTAGGCCAAACCTTTCAGTATTGAGCAGCGAATTTAATAGCATATGCTAAAATTAATAGAGTTAAAGCTAGTTTATTTTTCCGGTGCAAAAGAGGAGAAATTCCAAAAAGGTATGAGCTAACCTGCAGAAAGAGATAAAAGGTTCTCTAAAAGAGAGGTTAAGTGTAGCCCAAAGTTAGCATATTCAAGGTTGAAGAAATATGCCTTACAGGCCATAAGTATCCTAGGACAAATTTATAATTTTGTGAACAGTTTTTCTTGGTAATTTCACAAAATTATGCCAAAACCTGTGAGTTTGGACAAGAGACCACTCCCGCATGACAAACGATGTCTTATATTCATTTTGAGTAGAATTTTGTGGTTATAGGTAGACGTTGCATAAAAACGAACCAGAGTGGACAAAGCTCTTGCTATAGACGAAATCTTGACTTTATTTTTAATGTATATAGGATATAATCTCGTAGGGCAGATGTGATTTCATAAACGGATCCCTCACATGAATACCCATGTGAATTTAATATATTCAATCAGCTCATTAGAGTTACACCGAAGTTAATGAGTGCCTACAATATCCAAAATACGTCATATGCTCTTCAGTATTCCTTCATAGTAATGCTCATGCTTAAAGTGTAGTTAATAAATTAAAATCTAATTTTTTCTAGTCTGGACTCATTTTTTGTAATTTTATGAACCAGGTCGACGCCAAAATGTGTTAAATTTACCGAGATTAGTTTCGTGTCGATTCATTCACTCTCTCCTCCGCCTTTTAGGCGGCCTTTGCGCCACAGCGGCAAGGGGAGGTCACAACTTCTCTTCCGACCACAATCCACCTCATTCTGATGGTCCTCCTCTGGGATGAGGCATAGTATACGTGCTGACGGAATATTAGTCTTAGAGTAAGCATTTCTTCTCCAAAAGTGAAATTCGACTTCATTACCACTAACCCAGAATTTTCTCATGACACACTTTCGCTTTTGCGTATTTTTTCACATCAGATCAATCATCTGTCTCCACAAATGACCTTTAGCTTGGAACATGGAGGTAAGGGGAGGAGGTTTACATGCTGTATATGCCAACTGCAGCCGCCGATCTCGGATGAATTTGTCCTCATACTTCCCATACTCTTTAGCCTAAATTGCCGTTTGAGTGCACATTCTTGCCCTCTGGTTTTCGGCTCATAGTAACCCTCTGGCCCACCTCAGCGTCACGCTTTTGAACGCAATTTATTGGCCTAATCATGCCTCTTTTGCCACTTGGTAGACGGCGCCTGGCAGTGCTAATTCTTAACTCAGAACGAAAGCCCAGGTACATGACATTTTAGGGGAGCTTACTTCTTTCGTCTCTCGGGCGGTATGTTGGCAATTCCCAAAGCCCTAGTATTGCCTTCATAAAAACGATATGTAGTGCTTTCATACACCTGCTTATACGTTTATCTGAGTAGAGAGTAAAAAATCGCAAACACACATTTGCTCTGTATAGAGGTTGTTTGACCTTGTTTTCGCAACATGGTCACATTTGTAGGAAGACTAATTGGAACGCACCTCGTCCGTGGTCCATTGTCTGCATGATCATTTCCAAAATTTAACCGTGGACGTTGAACATTCCCAAACGTTTCGCCGGCATCGTAGTCGGCATCGTCAGTAAGTATCGCCATCCTAAGCACCACACAGCTACTCGTCAGAGACAAGTTAAGCCGATCCTTTGACCAAGCGTATGCTAAACAGTTATGGTATCTCCCCTTCCGCCCTGTCCGTCAAAGAGACAAGTGAAGCCGATCCTTTGACCAAGCGTATGCTAAACAATTATGGTATCTCCCCTTCCAAAGAGACACGTGAAGCCGATCCTTTGACCAAGCGTATGCTAAACAGTTATGGTATCTCCCCTTCCGCCCTGGGTTATCCATTTCCGGTAGCATCCTATTATCCCTGCACTGATGCAATTTTTACCGTGTTTATTTAGATAGTGTGGTTGCTCCTTTGAGCGACATGACACTTTTAATCCCC